AGGCTCAGCGGGATGAGATGGTCAGCCAGTTTGAAACCATGATGCAGTCCCACTGGAACGAGGCCCTCCGGCTCTTCGCCACTGGCGGCTCTTCCCTCCCGCCTTCGCCCAAAGCCCCCCACCAGGAGGCTGAAGCAGACCCCGAGTCAGGATATCTGGCCCCCTCCGACCCTCACAAAAAGACCCCGAAGGGGGAGACTCTCTGCAGCAACACAAGCGTTCATTGCACGTATCCGGCCCAGGGGGAGTAGTTTGAGGACCCCCTGATGTAGTAGAATATAAAAAATGCAAATAATTTTTCCGCGGACCACCAACATTTTCTCGCGGACGACCAGTCAGTGACCACTGGTGTGGTCCAACTCCTTGCTCAAACGGGAGGCGTTACGCCATTTCAGACAATTCTGACAATTCTCTTAATCCTTGTCTTGATTTTTTTGCCGTTCCCAACCTCTCCCCCCCACCCACCCCCCCGGACAGGAGCAAAAACAGCTGGCCTACTTCATCCGCCAGGAGAACGCCGAAATTACGGAGGAGAACTTCCACGAAGTGGTGCAGTTCGGCTCGGTGCGCCGTCCGTACATCGATTCCCTGATGCGAGTGCTCAACGCCGCCTATCTGCCCCGCCTCTTCCGCAAAGGCGCCTGGCCGGAGAGCATCAAAAACGAATTTTTCTCCGAAATTTATCATTTCATGACCACCCTGACAGGTAGGTTTGCAGCCGTTCTTCCCGTCGGATCCACCGGAGGTCGCCGATCCGTCGACTGGTGCTTTGGGAGTGCTGTACAGGTCGTCCTCGGCTTAATGACCAACATAGATCCCAAAATTTCTGTTGCTAAGTGAGTTGTTTGTTCAGTGAGTCTTGCCCCATTGTACGACTTCTCTTGCCATAGTTGTTAAGTGAATCAGTGCAGTCGTTAAGCAAATCGTGTGCTTGTTAAGCAAATGTGGCTAACCCAACCCCATTCATCATCATCATCATCATCATCATCTTTTAACGACCCCATAATCCCTTGCGGGGTGAAGTCTGGGCAACTGAGTGGAGCTAGCAGAGTGTTTTTTACTGGCCGGATGCCGTTCCCTGTTGCCAATGTGCGGTTTTGTTCAGCAGATAAATTCTCATTGTGCCCAGACAGAGAAATATCTGTCTCTACCTAGGATCAAACTCACAGCCTCCTGATCGTGAGGCGAGAGCTCCACCTCTAGGCCACCACACCACTAACCCACCCCAATTGCTTGTCGCAAAAGGAGATTGCATGAGTTTTGCCCCGTTTTACGACCTTGCTTGCCACTGTCGTTAAGCAAATCACTGCTGCTGTTGAGTTAGGAACACGATTGTTAAGTGAATCTGGCTTCCCCGTTGACTTTGCTGGTCAAAAGGTTACAAAAGGTGATCACGTGACCAGAGGACACGGCCACCGTCATAAATACGAGTCAGTTGCTAAGAATCTTTTGATCCCAAGAACATGGAGATACTGCAGCGGTCGTAAGTCCCTTTTTGCGGCTAACGTCGTAACTTTGAACGGTCACTAAACGGACTGTTCTCATTTGAGGGTTGCCTGCACTGTCTGGAAGTCGCTTTTTCAGTGCCGTCGTAATTTCAAACGGCCACTAAGTGAATCGTCGTAAGCCGAGGACCACCTGGAATTTTAGGTGTCTCAATTGAGGACCGAGGAATGAGAATTGGGGTGGGTGGGTGGGATCCTAAGGAGACGTCCCGACGTCCCCCTCCCTCCAAAAGCCACCCCAACCTCTAATCCCCGACCCCCTCCGTCCGCAGATACCCACTTCAAGATGAAGGGTCGCACCGTCCTTTACATCCCAATCGAATCCTTCACCATCACCCCCGAGATGGCCCTGAAGGACAAGGCTGCGGTCCAACGCCTGGAGAGTGAGTGATGGGTCTTGGGGTATCGGGGGGGAGCGGGGGCGCTAACCAGATCGGGAGAGAAGGAGAGGGGCCGCTGGCGAGGACCACGTCGGGCGTGATCGTCTCTCGCTTAAGGAGTGAATTAACTTAGCATCTGCGCTGCATCTATCATTCCCAATCTGCTCAGGCGCCGTTGCGTGTGCCCGGACTTACGACGGGGTAATGAGTCCGGCTGTAGGCCGGGGAAATAAGTGGATGAGAAGCCAGGGTCCTCCTTCCCAGCTCTGTCCCCTTGGGGGATACAAATAAGAGGATAAGGAGGGAGGGAGGAAGAAGATGAGGGAGGGAGGAGAATGGAGGAAGGAAGGAAGAGCAGGAGGGAAAAAGGACGTAAAAGGAAGATTGAAAAAGGAGAGAAAGTATGAGAGAAAAAAGGACAGAGGGAGGGAGGGAGGAAGAAGATGAGAGAGGGAGGGGCGGAGGGAGAGGGAGGGAGTGAAGAAGGAAGGAGGAAGATGAGGGAGGGAGGGAGGAGGAGGGAGGAAGGAAGTAAAAGAAAGGTTGAAAAAAGAGACAAATTATGAGAGAAGAAAGGGAGGGAGGGAGGAAGGAAGAAGATGGGGGAGGGACGGGAAGAGCGGGAGGGAAGGAAGGATGAACGATGGAAGGATAGACGGAGGGAAGAAGGAAAGAAGATGAGGGAGGGAGGGGAAGGAAGGGAGGGAGGGAAGGAAGGATGAACGATGGAAGGATAGACGGAGGGAAGAAGGAAAGAAGATGAGGGAGGGAGG